TCAAAGGAAAAAGACTCCTTTCCCCGTATGGTTTGCACTTCATGTTACCTGATGTTAAATAGCATCCAAGAGCACTGACAGAGTGAAAAAGGGATCAGGTAAAAGACTTCATATGAGCTATGGAAGATCAAATGGGACCATGGCATGACTAAACCAAACCTTGGTTTGTAACTGTCAGGTAGAGATTTGATTTTTCATATTAAAAATCCATGCATTGGAAACTGAATAGAGATACACAGCCATTGAAAAGTGACTTTTATTATTTTTTTTTTTTTATTAGGTAATTACTAGCAATTAACTGGGTACATAGTGGGGTTTTCTACCCTTGAAGTTTTAAATAAAGGCATCTTATAGAGAAATATACCTTTATCTATCCAGGCTCTTGTTGCTTTTTGGAACGATACATTGAAATCCTCAGACATGCAAGCATAGATTAGACTAAACAGTAAAGGTGCTTCTGCTTTTATTTTTATTTATTTTTTTTCTAAATAAAATCTCTGTTTCATGTGCAATTCTTGCTATACTTCAACCTTTGTATTTTAAATATTTATCAATCTTTGTATTTTTAAAAGAAAAATGTATAGACTATTCAAATTTTTTGAGCTTGCAGTGCCAATATGTTAGATATTTTGTGACCACTTCACACACATTGCTACAGGAATGGGGAACACTGTGGACATGGTTGAAAAGATAATCCCAGTGACTTCTCACTATTTCTAAATAAATCATCTTCAGTAGTTGGGGGCCATCTTCTTCACGATAATGCCTCATAGAAATGTTTCTAAATCTTCATTTTGACCCCTTTTTGTCTATAAAATAAACATTTTTGCCAACAGAGTATCCCTTTACTGTTTGATATCTGACCTTTCACAAAGAAAGGTCCGTTAGGAAATGTGATGCTTATCACACTTCCCTTGCTTCCCTATTTTGCTGGAACTCAGCAAAAGGCTCCCTAATTATTCCTTTATGAGTTAAACCAGATCATTTTCTCATGTGGGGATGGGTCAGTTTAAAAGCCCAAGCAAGTGAAATCACGCTCCTTTTGGAACAGAAATGACTTTCACAAAGAAAATATAAAAATAGTGCCAGGCTGTCATTGTCAATATAAAACTAGCCATTTTCTCCAGGTAGAAATTCAACCTTAAATGAAAACATTAAGGAAATTGTTATTTTTCTTGCAAAATTCTGTGCATGCAAAATCTGAATTTTATGCAGCTCAACAAAAATCTTGCTGTCTTCTATACAGAAAGAGAACCTCTAATAAAAGCACCACCAAGTTATGAAACCTATGATAAGCGATGGCAAGCGAGCAGATCCTACAGGGGGTGAGATCCCAGGTAAGAGGAGAGAGGGCAACTTGGAGGCACCAGTTGCAGGTGGGAGGGCGACCCAGTGGGCACCACTCGCAACCAAGCTCTCCAGTTTTGCTCTGGTGGGGGAGAGACCAACCACATGAACATGCGATGTTTGGCTCCCCCTCTTGGTGGGTTATTAGTTGTAAAGGAACAGAATAGAGTCTTTTTTTTTTTTTTTTCCTTCTATTTTTTTTTCCCTGTCCCTTACTAAAAGCAGATTATCAAAATTTCCTTTCCCTACTTACATTGTGCACCTGGAAATAGTTTCAGTTTAAACCAGGGCGTTTTGTCCAGTGATTCAACATAAAGCTATTTCATCCCTTTTTAAACAAATGGACTCCACTCTTGTTTTGCTCTTGCTCTCTCTCTTGGAACTATCTCGCACTAGTTTCTATGACCTGTTGTTTCACATTATGAATAAATTGGTTTTCTTCACTTTAGTTATCCCCTAATCCCTTTTAGGCATATGATAGTTTTGGAACTTTATACAGTGTCTCTGGTTAATGTACCTCTGAGAAGTTAGATAAGGCTGATCCTTATTTAGCCTGCATTCAGTAGAATTACATTGAACTATTTTTGGCTGAGTGCCCTTTTAATTTTCCAAGCTCTCAAATGGAGTCATTTAAAGTATAAAAATGTATGAACATCTTCCCTCTGAACTAAATGGCACTCTTTTTCTTGGCTTAATTTCCTTTGGAAGTAAAAGCTATACTATGCTTCACTGGTACCAACAATCAGTAATGTAGTATAGGTTGCCAGACGTAAAGATTAGATAAGCATTTGAATTTCCAGTAGTGTTTTCATGGAATTATCTATATGCAGCTCATATTCTATTCTGAGAACACAGCTGGACTAGCAACACTAATTATATTTCTCATCTAAAAGAAAATGCTATTAGCTAAAATGGAATGACTTGAAATCTGTTTGATGTGTATTTATAATTCTTTAAGAATCATCCTAAAGGTCAACATTGATGTTAGTCCTGAATGTATTCTAGAACCTGAGAATGCCTTGAAGGTGCAACACTGACACTGTACCATTTGGTCTTAATGGCCTGAAGTGGAAAAAATAAAGCAAAATGTGGCATTTAGCTCCTCTTAATTGAATTTTCTTTCAAGTTGGATTTACAGTCTCATTTTTTTCAGTATCAGAATAATAGTGACTTCCTAATAATGGTCAGTTCTAGTCTAAGAGGTAACCATGTCAAATTTCCCTAGGCTTCCTCATCAGAGCTATTCCTTGAATGCACTGAGTCATTTCTGCAGACTGAGGACAAAAATAGCTTTTTACTCCTGTCATTGCGGGAGAGCCAAGAAGGCTTGGAGAGATGGGGCTGGAATTGATTTCTCTTCTGCATCATCTATTTTGAATGAAGTGAAAAACCTTCATTTTTTTTTAATGTTTCCTGAAATATACATGTTTCTTAACAAAATTCTCTTGCAAATAGGCAAACTTTTCCTCTGCCTTCCATTTTAAAACTTTTGTTCACCAGCTGAATTTTCTCAAAGTCTCTCTGTTTCATTAGGAGGAAGTGGATTGTACTATTTTGTATTTATAAACCCAAACCTATTAATATCTCACTTCTTTTTTTCCAACAAAACCAACAGTGTAATTCAGCTGACCAAGCCAACTTAGACAACTTTTAGAGAAATACAGGTTTTGACAACTTTTAGAGGGGATATGAAGAAAGATCCTTGGATTCCAGAGCTGAAATATTCAGTGATCATAATTCATAGAGAAAGTCCTCTGTTATGAACCTTGCTGTGTTCCCATGTATTGGCTGGATGAGTGCTTGCCCAGGATGGGGGAAAATGAAGAACTCTGGCTGGTAGGGTTCATTTTCCACACCGTGAGGTGCAGGAATGTATAAATGACCAGGGCACCTTGCCACTGCATCCCATATGCTTTTAAATGCTTCCAGCAAAAGCTACTGCTTGGTCTGCATGTGTGGGAAGCGTGAACTTGTTCTTCCCCCATCCCTATGGGACGATCAGGAGCAATATGAGTGTTATACAATACCTGCATCTTTTAGCCCTGTTTTGACCAGGTACATTTTATCTCATCAGGACCAGATGCCTTAGGAATAAGTTATTTTTTCTTGCCACCTTTCCCCTACACATCACTTCCAATGTCTCTCCTCCATGAATACTTGAAATTTTACATCTGAACTGTGTATCTGAGCAGCTCCTGAAACTGGGAGCACTCAGGTCTGGAGATGCCAGCGCAGAATTTGAATGGGCTGTGATAAATATCTCTGGTGTTAAAGCACCTGGTGCATGTCACGGGGTCTTTTTGTGCCTAGACCTAAGAATGTTTCAGTGCTCTTCAGAGAGTCTGTGTGTGTAATGAAGAGTGTATGAGGGTGGGAGGTGAGGCTGTGTCTCTTTACGTACTACTTATTCATTTTTACCCACTTCCTAAATCCTTCACCGGAGTCTCAAGGGATCATTAGTTTGTTATAAAGCTAATAACTTGTGTATCTTTCCAGTATTTAGGTAAGTGGAAAAGAGCCCATTTTCCTAATCTCATTGGCATCTAGATTGTATTTTATGGATTTTATCATATGGAACTAATATTTCAGTACATTTCAAAAAAGACTTGGTGTAATGCAATCCAGCATTGCTGATTATACCGGCCAATTTTTACAACATTATGAAACAATTAAGATGATACATATGCAATATGAATATGGCACAAGTAAAATATGAGCTGAGCAACATGATGGTGAGCAGACCTATTTATGGGACACTTTTTGCTGGATACTTGACTGAACAAAGAGGGACAGGGACAGAAGAGCTGGGAAGGTGTTTCTCTGTAAGCCTGGGTCTCATGTACTTATAGCACATTCAGCTGACTGTGTACAATAAATGCAGAATGGAGTAGACAGAAGAAGAGACATCAGTGTTCAAAGGTCATTATCAGAGTTGTTCTTTCTGCAAAGCCTTGCTGAAGTCCTACAAAAAACCTGCAAGAGCAAGAATTTTGCCCTCCCAGCTCTATCTGTGTGCCAATGCTTTAAGTATTTCTCAGAAAATTTGGTTGGTGTTACACTGTCAGCCTTACTCATGGAGAAATGCAGGTTTGCTGGACTAACAGCACAGAGGCACGAGAAAGGACTTGCCCTGAGATCCTTCCCGGGGGTGGTGGGAAGCAAGGCGTATTGTGAGAGGAGAATATCACTGGGAATGAGACAGCAACAAACCAGCTTCACCCAAATCAGCCTGTGCAGGGTCCTCCCAGCAGCATGCTGGTTGCAATGTTATGGTAGGGACAAGGAAACTAATACAGATGTACATACATGCAGGCAGAGCATGTGGTAACCATTCTCAAAATGCTGGGCTCAGAGAAAGAATAGACACAGGCAGTGTGTTTGCTGGTAAATTATTTGAATAAAAGCTGACAATGAATCTCTTGCAAATGCTCTGTGCAACAGTTTTTGCATGGCAGGAACCTGCTGTCCTGTGCATGGTGCCTGGCAAGAATTTAGCACTGATGGTCCTAAGGCACTGACCCTGTCACTGCTCTCCTGAAGGCACTGACAGTGCCTCTAGCACTTGTGTTAGCACTAGTGTTAGTGCTAGGCTCTAACGCTGCTGCTATTTCTGCAGCCCTGCAGCAGTTTCATGCATCAAAGTCCTACTGCAGTCTCTCCTCCTCTCCACCTTTGTAGCCCCGGGGTCTTGTGGGACTCCAAAAGTCTCTCACTTCATTTTCCTTTAAGCAGATTACTTCTGGACATTCAGCTGTGGGAGGGGAATGGGATTCTGGCAACTTTAGTGATGTCCAAGGGTATTTAGGTTCAAGTGATGACAAATGAATGTAATTAATATATTAAAGTATGAGACTGTAAGTACTCCCACCCTCAGAGTAGTTTTGCTTGTTTTTAAAAACAGTTTCAAAACATAATTCATTATGTGATCTGAGGGGATGCCGAGCCAATTTCCACTTGGATCCACGTCCTCAAGGACTGTAAGGAACGTGTTATTCTGCCTAGCACCAGGGATAATGCGTGCTTCTCAAACTGAATTCATGTGAATTGCTTTCAAGTAGCAGCACTCAAGCAAGCAGCTGGTTGGACTGAAAACTCCAGTGAAGGCATCTTTGAAGGCTCAGGCACACGCACAGTCAGATCTGTCCTGGCTCTTCCTGGCAGTCACTGCTTTCACTCAGATGTAGCTTTTGGTTTGAAAATACTTGCTTGGCAGCACCACCAGCTGTGGCAAAAGGCACAGATCCTGTCTTAGGTTAATAGCTTTGTATTTCAGAAACACAATCCACACCATCAACCTCCTATACTTGAGTACCTAACCAAAAATGTTTGGACGTTACCACTTTCTAGACCCAAACTTGGTCCCAGTGGCTGTATTCAAAACTTTGGCAGAATTCTGAAAGTGATGAGAACTTGGATTTCACTTTAGATGTTTTCAGAATTATTTTCTTTGATCTTTAGGATCAGTTGATCTTTGATCTTCATTGACCTTTATTGATCTTTATTGTTTGCTCCATTGCTTGACACATTTACCACCATAAGAGACAATGTGTTTGGATTGCACGAGATGTTTTGCTGACAGAGACCTGACATACATACCTTTTACCTCTCTGTGTTTGTCTTTTATTTCATGGGTCTCAGGTTATTCAGAACACATGATTAAGGGGGTGAGTCAGAGAAGCAGTCTAATCCAGGTGGTCTGAATTGCCCTTGGTTGCCTCTATCTCCAGAGATAACTTACAGAGGCTATGCAGACTGGCATCTCACACTGATGCAGTAGCACAAAGATCTTCCCAGGAGGATCTGAAACATCAAGTAATCTCTTCCAATCTATTCAGTCATCCATAGGATAGGAAAATTCTCCCAATGATCTGGAAAAACTGTCACAGCAGAGCAAAGTTGGTTAATATTATGCCCTATATAGAGGCACTAAAGCATTATTAACTCAGTGAATGAGTCCAAAATCAGAAAGGATGACTGTTTAATGAAAGAAACACTCTATAAGATGTTTAAGGTATTTTGAAACATATGCCATGCTGCATGTATATGTCATCTGGATTTATTCTTTTATTGGGAACTGTTCAACTGAGTTGCATTTGCACACAAAATTTGAAAGTGTGAACTGGAATAGATGAAGCAATTATTTTAATTAAAGCTTCTTAAAGTATATAGAGTGCAAAGTTCAAATAACCAATAGCTCTGCTATTGGTACACATGGTGAACCAAACAAAAAAAATCAGAAGTCTTCCAAAACTTTCACCCATCATACCCATATGTTTCATCCATATGTTGTGTGCAAATACTGCTTATGTCAAAAGTGCTTTATACCACACAAAGCTCCAACTGAAGTCAATTAAAAGTCTGAAAATGCCCCAAAATAAATTGCTATAGTGATTCCAGTAAGGAAATCAACATGACAAGAAATGTTCCTTGAACAGCAATAATCATATTATATCCCTCTGGTCAGCTGTAAAAATAATGATTTTGCATTTCCCAATGAAAATTAAAATATTGAGTTCTGAGGTGCACACTTACAGTCTAATAAAATATTTACTTTGACATGTAACAAAAATACATGCAATTTCTGAACAATGTGGCTTTGTACTATTCTAAATATTTCATTACTATGATTTATCCAGAAAGCAGTATTGAACCTTTACAGTTGGGACAGCAGGTGTCTTCATAATGTCTTGGAGTCAATTGAATTGTGCAGTCCAGGTACGGGACAGATTCTTTTTCTAATTACACTAAAAATATCTATAATTTCAGTTTGGAAAGAGCTTGATAAGAACATAGCCCTTAATGAGGCTAGCCCCATTCTGCCTTGCTTGCTGCAGTATGTGGTATGAGAGGGCAATGACCGTGCAGCTGCACAGCCTTTCCATCACAGGCAGGATTCACCCAGACCGTGCAAACCTGCACACTGCAGACTGCTGTGACAGATATCCAAGCTATTTCTGTCTAGGTCAGCTTAAGTGGGAAAATCAGTCTGTCCAATGCAGTGCTCTACAAACCTAGGCTACCTAGAGGAAGCAACATGGTGCTGTCATTCGACTGATCGGTTGCCTGGGTCAGAATCACAGAATATCCACAGTTGGAAGGGACCTACAAGGATCTTTGAGTCCAACTCCTGGGTCCACATGGGACCACCCAAAATTCAGACCCTATATCTGAGAGTGTTGTCCAAGTGCTTCTTGTACTCTGGCAGCCCAGTGCTGTGACCACTGCCCTGGGGAGCCTGTCCCAGTGCCCGACCACCCTCTGGGTGCAGACCCTTTCCCTAACCCCCAGCCTGACCCTCCCCTGTCCCAGCTCCATGCCGTTCCCTCGGGTCCTGTCGCTGTCCCCAGAGAGCAGAGCTCAGCGCCTGCCCCTCCGCTCCCCTCGTGAGGGAGCTGCAGGCCGCCATGAGGCCTCCCCTCAGCCTGCTCTGCTCGGGGCTGAGCACACCGAGGGACATCAGCCGCTCCTCATGCATCTTGCCCTCTAGACCCTTCACCATCTCTGTAGCCACTCTTTAATAGTTTTATGTCCTTTTTATACTGTGGTGCTGAAAACTGGCCAGTACGAGAGGTGAGGCCGCACCAGCACAGAGCAGTATGGGATGTTAGCTGTAACTACCCCAGACAGACCTGCACAGCACTGCACAGGGATTGCTGTCTCCATTCCCTTTCTAGCGGAGTGGAGGTCATCTGGATCAGCCTGGGATTAGAGAGCTGGAGGAGTAAGGGAAGGAAACATGGAGCTTGTGAGAAATACCCGAATGGAAATGCTGGGACACAGAGCTGCACCCCACATCTCCTTTTAGACCACTGGGTTCAGTCCTCTGAAAAACTCATGGTCCCAGACATGAGGTTGGTGTTGAAAGTAAGATTTAACCTGTGGACTGTCACTGTGAACAAAACAACATAGCTACTATATAGAGAAATGCAACTACATTAAAATTCTTATACTTAATATTAAACTAGTGCTTTCTGATTTGCATGAACAATCTAATTTTCAGATATTTCGTCCAATATATGAGAGGCATTGAATGACTCAGGTATTTGCCCTGCCTACTGCAGTGGAGTAGATATGGTAACTGTCTATACTGCAGGTGACATGCTAAATCCTGTTTTATATACTCATATCCTTCAAAATATGAAATCTCTCTATTAATAATTACTATATTTTTTCTTACCTTTTGGGTTCAAAGTTTACACTTCTCCATTTGCACAAATATTCAAGCTCCTTCAGACTATGCCTGAAATGAATACTTAAAATTTAGTTCACCTCAGACAAAAGTTAAAGCAACAGGAAGTGTAAAAGCCATGCAGTTTTCTCTTAACAAAGCGAATAAGGCAGCTACTAAGGCTTTTGCAGAGTTCAGTGAAAGCCTGCCCACTCAGAGGTGGATCCACAGCCTGGAAATCATGGAACCTTTCCCTGACTTTAGCGGGGCTGGAATCAGCCTTTCTGCAACATTGCCATTTGTTTTCCTGCTCAGGTTTTGTTTCTAGGACAATTTATCAATGGAGGCTCAGATTTACATCATGACACACACACACAAAAAATATATTGGTTCATACATTGGCGTGAATTCAGTTTTAGTAGAGAAGGAAAGTAAAACCTGCCCTTGCATCCTTCCGAAGCACGTCATTTCACCAGCAGTAGTGCCAATGTCCTGGCTTAGTCGGATGATTATATAAGCTGTCACGTTGCTGATTTGGCAGTTTCTCCTGCTTTCTTTACTTCCACTTGCTTCAGAGAAGGGCGGTGGAGAGTCGGGTCCGTTGACTTGTGTTCATCCAAGGAGGCTGACTCACCCAAAATGCCCATATCCTCTGGGGCAATGCCTAATCTGCAACTGTATTGAAGCCCTCCAAGACAACTTCAGATTTGTGTGAGTTTATTACAGTGTCCTTGAATGTTTCCCAATAACCCTTTTCAGATACATAGTAAACTGTTTCCTAAATGAACTCCAAGCCAGGACACGAGCCTCCCTCATTCATTTATATGCTGCTGGCTTCATGCAAACAACACTAGCTCTGCGGTTTTGTGAAATGGACTCATTTATCACTGAATGTGATGGTGATGATACCACCACCCTTTACTTATGTCGGATGCCTCACAGCTGTCTGATCAGACAGATTTCTTGGTTCCTCTGGCAAGGCTTCATGAAAGGCACAATGCTAAAGATGAAAGGTCAATTTTATATAATGGATGAAAACAATGAGTAGCAGATTAAACTAGCTTTCTGGTAAATGGTGCCATTACTTTCCAGTAAATAATGTCATGAATTACTTGATGAATAACATAAGTTGTGAGATAAAAAAGATACTCATTAAGTGATGGAAAATTAGGCAGTTCTATAAACTCAAATATGCCTTTGGTTTTCTTTCCAGTATGATCTAGTCCTTAAAACATTTACTAACAGGTCATTTTAGCTAGACTAATGAAATCTGTGTATGAGTTTAAGCTAAATTCACTCTATGGAGATAGTACTATTTAAGCAGCCTTTATTTTATGATTTACAAAAATGTGAGATGGTACAAGGGATGCAGCCCCTAGAAACATTCTTTCCAAATATCACATTCAAAAGACCCTGAGCATCTCCCCACAATCCTCACCCCTCTGACCCTCCTCACCATTTGCATCACAGCCATTTTAAGCAATCATTTCAATTTCTCTTCATGAGTCAAAAGCACCTCCCCTGCCAGTAAATACATGGAGAAAGTTTCTCTGCAGAGGTAGGAGCTTTTCCGTGGTTTTGCTTTCAGAGAAATTACAGCTGGCATGGCTTCTAGCCAGAACAGCAACCGGAACCATTCCTTCTTCAGTGGAAGGGAATTGCTAAAAAGAGGAAAGATTTCCAGCCTAAAATACTCAATTCTGTTGTTTTTCCAGAAGCATAGAAGCCAAAATCAGTGGGGAATCTTGCATGAAGGACAGGAGGAAATGTAATCTGGTCAAGTAAGAAAATATGTTTAAAGTAACTGTCTTTCAAACTCCTCAGCAGAGCTGGACATATCCTAAAGACCACTTATGAGCCATAGCTGGTGGGTCTACGAACAGGAAAAAGCAACTCTAGAAAGCACTTCTAGGAAGCATAGTGGAGGGCCATAAATATATCCTGTTAGTACTGAACTTGATAAGCTGAGAAAGAAATTACAACAAGTAGTTGACTGTGACCCCGAGGAGTCTCATTTTAGTAATAAAGCAGGGTCCCTTCCAGTTCTCTGTCACCACATTTAAAAGCCACTTCATGTAAGTGTGTTTTAGCCATTTTATTTTCTCTTTCATAAGCACTGGTGTGAAAGAGTATCTCTTTACACAGAAAGATTGCTGTGGGTGTGAACATGTACCCCTCGCTGCAAGACCTCACAGAGGGCTCTGTGTGTCAGTCTGTGTCCTCTCCTCTTCATTTTGAAGGTCAATCAAAATGATGTAGCACCATAAAGACCTCTGTCCACTTTCCATGGTTCTTCTCAGCCACCTTACACCTGCACAACTTCTCCATGCCCTCATGCATGAGCCCATCCCCACAATACCAACTTCTTCTCAAGTCTTCAGCCAGTGAGCACAGACAAGTGGTCAAAATCTGCTAGTGAGTAATGCCTGCCAGAGCAATGGGCTTTGTTCCCTGGGCACATGGTGCTGGAGAGCCTGTTGAGACTCCCTCTCCTCCTCTGACAGACAGGGCTGCAAATCAGCTGAAGATGTTAATCAGACAAACAAATATTTATACAGTATCATTGACCGTTGCAGCCCGGGGTTGCTGTGGAAAAAAACAACACTGTAAATTTTTATAAACATTTCTTGCTCATGTCCTTTTCTTTAGAAATTACAACACATTTGCTTTCTAAATTATTTTCAGGGGGGTGAGGAATGAACAACAAAAATACACATTTTGCAATTATAATTCAACTCTGATTTAGCCAGAGGAAGCAAATTTGCAGATATATTTTCATCCAAACTGGCCTCCTTTGATATTTCCATCTTTTTCCATCTTGTCTGGATAACCAAACACAGATCATAGGAAAAAAAAAAAAAAAAAAAAAAAAGTAAATAAAAAATCTGCTATTATTCATTTCTCCTTTCTGGCTGCTGTAGGGACCTCTGTTTATTGTTTGTTTTGGAATATATAATAGCTTCTCTTCCTTACATGTCTGTTTTCTGGCTTCTGTCTCATCAGGACATGTTACCCTCACTCAGTGCACAATGAGTTTGACAGCCGGGAGACCATCAGCAGGATCTCTTTTTGAATCATCAAGAAATCTCTACCTAGAGCTCTGAACAGAAAGTGTGAAGAGCCCCTGTCCTGCTTTTCTTGTAGGGACCCAAATCCCAAGTCCAACACCCAATGCCAAACTGATCCCATAAACAGGGCAGGTTGTTCCTCCAGCTCCTCAGCAATTCCCTTGCATTGCTGATGTAGATTAGGGAACTGCCACCTGGCCTTTCACCCAAGCAGTTTAATTTTGGTAAATTAATTAATTCTCACTATCTGCATTCACAGTCCTTCATCCTGCCCAGAGATCCAAGCTTTTGGGACAGATGCTATGAAACTTAAGAGCATGATACTCCCTTGCACAGAAGAATGGGTAACCTGTGCAGGTGACATTCAGTCTTTCATCTTCTTGCTCAACATGGGGAAATAAAAACTGTCAGGTTTGGTCTTCAGCTATCTTAAAAAGTAAAGTCTGATGTAAGCCAATCTGGGCTCCTTTGACAGATCTCCCAAGTGTAGAAACACAGAATCCTTTAGGTCGGAAAAAACCTCTAAGATCATCTAGTCCAACCTTTAACCTAGTACCGAAGAGTGCTAGTGACTAGTTTCTAGTCAGGTAGAAGTGACTGAGATGACTCCTGCCAGACTTTGTTTATCCACTGTTGGACAAGAGGTGTGCACAAAAGGTGGGCATGACACCAGGACAGTCCAGGTCTGGGTTGGGGGCTTACGAGACCCCTGTGTTCTGGTTCATCAGCCATTCTGCAGAGAGGTGCACCCTCAAGGTCCCTTGGCAAATGGTGGGCAGAAACTGTAGGCCCATATAAAGGAGATTAAATAGTGGAAATTGCAAAGCCAGGCTTACTTAGGTAAGTCTGACTTTTGTTATTTGTTCTATTCAGACATTTTAAAGTACTAAATTCTATACTTGATGTTTTGTTCCAACTACCCTAAACTGTTAAAACACTAAACCAAAAGCCTCTGCCAATCTGGAAACAATAAATCTTGATGCTGGAACATTAATTGGGTTTCCAAACACCCTCCTAAATAGCACTTAATTTGAATTATGGATACTAGCTGCAGCTGTGTTCAAATAACGAGGACAAGCATGGTTCCATCACACTAGGACGTGACTGCAGCTTCACAGTTTTATCACTGAGCTGAGGGGTCATTTCTAATTGCTGTGTTAGCAGAAAACCAGCATGGCCAACACTGTTTGGAAATGCCATCAAGATGTCTTCTGCAGTCATGCTTGATGTGAAAGCAAAGCCTAGTGTCCAGGCTGTGGCCACTGCAAAATGTTTCTGAAAACCAAGGCCTGATCTGCTTCGTTTTCCACTCAGATTGCTTGGACAGGCCCTTGAAAAGGTGTCTGTACTCTCCCTGTGACCTACAGACCACATTTCAGCAGAAAGCTCTTTCCCTGGTGCAACAGGCTTTCTCTGCTAATTGCAGAGCCAAACTTGACCTTGTGCTCTTGCAGGAGAGGAGCTCAGTGGTAGATCACATCTTTCTTAGCTCCCACTTAAAATAACCAGCTATAGAAATCATCTATCAAAACCCATAGCACATATTTTGCAATCAAGACAAGCAATAATTACCTCAAACTGCACTACCTGAGTGAAGAAAGATGGTTCCCCATTTCTTCATGTGTTTTCAATATATTTCTGTGATATAACTTAGCAGATGAGAAACATTTTGAGAGGATGCAGAGATTCCCAACATTAAGAATAAGGCATCCAAAACCTTATCCAGATATTTATAAAAATTTCTTAGCCAGCCAGCACAAGGACCAGGCAGATTTAGAGCAATGCAGTCAAACTGTATCAGCTGGAGGAAGTGATCAGCAATTCTGTAAGTAGTCAGCCGCACGGTACATCTGCAGTACCCTTGGCTGTGCAAAATGTGCCACAAAAAGTAGAATGGAAATTTTTCAAGGCACATCTTTAATGTTTCTTCTGTTCTTTTAAGAATTCTAAAGCTAGGTTTGAAATAACCTTTTGTCTGGAGTTAGTTACCCTTGGGGGTTTTTG